CTAAGCGGTTCTTTTCAATTTTGGGTATTCAGAAAGGGTTGCCTGGTTACCGAGAATGGGGAAATCTCGGGCTATATCGGGTACGATGTGCCACAGACAGCAATATCACAATGCCACGCAGAGAAAGGGATGGATGCAAGTTAACGATGCGCTTTCAATAAAACATTCATAGACTTGTTCACGCTTTGATAATGACCTCATTAAAGGGAGCTGGGGGCAAGTAAGTCCTGTCTCCTGTTTGTGTTCGGCTAACAAAACCCAGCTTTGAGATCATTCATCGCTTTGGAAACTAATATGAAATCAATGTAAGAGGAGCAAATAAATCCGAGGCGGCCCCGCCAACTCCACGGCCCAGTCCCGCCCTGCTCGCAGCCTCCTCTGCTCTTGCCTGGGGCTGCAGAGACCCGAAGAAAAGAAGTTTGGCGATGGAGCGGGACGTTTCAGAGGGCGCATGAGGGGCAAAGTGGGAGTAACTGGCCAGAAAACAAAACAAAAAAATCCCCCCTCAAAACAGCAAAGCACATCCAGTGACCAGCAGAATTCTGGGCCTTAGTGGGTAAACTACTCGGTGAGGCAGCTCTTTACTTTTTCGCTGACATGCAAGTGGAAGGAATCAGAAGCGAAAAGGATTTCAGGTCAGGTGCGATCAAGCTCGAGGGCCCTTCTGAAAGCATTTACCTCTCAAGCTTGAAGCTCACTCAAACTCAAATGGAAAAGTCTAGAGGCACAAGGAGCAACCTTATTTTTTCTCTTTTGCTCTTTTTAGAATTCCTTTGATTTTCTCCCTCCCTTTTCCCTAAGTTGTTTGGTGGGGTTCCTGGTCCGGAAAAGGCTGCAATGTTGTTCCCTTCTCTTTGTGACGCCGTCTTACACCCCGGGACAAAGCCATCCCCTTTCATCCAGAGCAAGAAGGAGGGAATCTGAGGACCCCCTCCCCTTTGAAAAGAAGACATTTCTCCTTGAATTATGAAAGTAATGGCTTAGGTAACAGTCCGTACTCTGTACCCGACAGCTTAATACCAAATAAATCCTTCCACGTGGCTCCCTGAGTCGTAGCAATTAGAGCTCATTATAGGCTCATAAGAGTTCTCATTTCGGGGATTACTTAATGGACGATGAAATTTTATCGGACAGAATCACTGAGAAATAAAATTGTGCGGCAGCGCGGGACGGTGGGCGCACGCCGACGGTCTGCGCTCTGGTTGGAGAGGAGCGCGAATGCTGGGGTCTCCTGCTCTGAGCAGGTTCTGTGCGCCACAACCCAGGGGAGAGGGTGGGCAATGGTTGGGGGGCTTCCACTGGTGAGGGGGGTCCTCAGCAGGTGGAGCTGGCTTCTGAAGATGGGTGCGGAGTTCAAGGAAAGAGCAAGATAGGGAGAAAGCCAAAGACGACTATAGATGAGAAGTGAGTGGAGAGAGAATGTAGGTGAGATATGACGATGGCAAAATACTTGTTCTTGGTCAGGGCAAGCGAATGACCAAGTGCTCCAACTACAATGGTGGAGCAGGGGTTAAGTTCTAATTACTAATCAAGAGGTGGGTGGTTTGAACCCACCAGCTACACTAGATTAGAAAGATGAGGCAGATTGAATCTGTAAAGGTGGTTGGTGTTATGGGCTTTGGAGTTGACCTTAAGGAAGGATGACAGAAGAAGAATCGATGCCTTTGAGTTGTGGTGCTGGAGAAGAACCTTGAACATACCATGGACCGCCAAGAAAACAAATCGGTCTGTCTTTGAGAGGGTGAAACCAAGTGTCTCCTTGGAGGCTAGGGTTTTGAAGCTCCATCTCACATACTTTGGACACGTGTCCTTGCAGAAGGACATCATGCTCAGAAGGGTGGAGGGACAGCACATGAGAGGAAGACCCTGCATGAGATGGATTGCTACAGTAACTGGGGCAGTGGGGGGTCGGTGTGTCGGAGTCAGTGAGACCGGCTCAGGACAGGGCAGGCTTCAGAGCTGTTGTACATAGGGTTGCATAACAACGACAAGAACACAGCCCATAGTGACCCTATGAACAAGAATAGAGTCTTATCCCATCCTGCACCAACCCTGATATGCTACAGTCACTGTGTCTATCCGTCCTTGGAAATTCTATAAAGCATTCTCTATCCCATCCTATGCTGTTGTCATTGTTTTTATGTGCTGTGAATTAGAACTGACTCATAGTTGACTCTCCAGAAGATTTCCAGAGGCAGTAAACTGCATGAGAGGAGACTGCTCATCTTTCTTCTGTGGAGCAGCTGGTGGATTCAAACTGCATGCTTTTGGGCTGGCAATGCTCTAGGCCACCAGAGCTCCATTCCACCCTTAGGGTCACTGTAGGCCTGAATGAACTGAGTGGCAATAATTTTGCCCTTTTGTTGTTGTTTTGTTTGTTTGTTTTGTCTAATGGGCAAGCTTCTCCAATGTTGCCTGGTTCTAAGCCGTTGTCCCCCTCACAGCTCATCTTTCTGAGAATTGCTTGACACATGAACAGAATATTTCTATATGCATGCTCCAGGTTCTTCTCAAGTTAGAATTCTCGAAGATAAAACATGAAGGCCCATCATTTTCCCGTATCTTCACATCGGAACTGCAGTTCTTTTCATGAGCACGCTCAGAATTGCTAGAAGGGAGCTCTGGTGGCCTAGTGGCAAGAAGCTGCACTGCAATCCCAGAGGCATGTGGTTCAAATCCACCAGATGCTCTGCTGGAGAAGGAGGGGCAATCTCCTCCTGTACCAGTCAGATCCGATTTGATGGTATACATACAAAAAATAATAAGACAAAAAGAATTGCTGAAATACTGCGGCTCTAAGCAGACACTGGAGAACATTTTACCTAAAGCAGAGGGGGGCGGACGGGGGCGCGGGATGAGAAGGAATTGTGCTCAGAAGAAAGCAGGGGAAAGTAAAGTGAGTGAAGAAATTGAATCAGATCTATCGACAATTTAGTTCACCAAAACACCCTGATAGCTTCTCTCAGTTATGTAGCTTTGAGTCTTTTCCAAGAGATGAGGTGGGGGCAGGCTGGGCCCAAAGGCACTTGCGTCTGTCCGGCTGAGATGGCTGAAGTGGCGGCAACTTTGTGGCACAAAAGTAGTTACAGCTGAGCTGCCCCTGAGTTAAGCCCTAAGACTTCTTAATTGTTGTCACAAGATGTTGGATTAACACATTTCTGGAATAGCTGTCTGTTTACACTCGGGAGACCCACCGTCCACTAACCGCTTTCTAATTGAATTCTAATCACATTCAAATAGCTCAATAACCAGCCTCAGCTGCAATTCATAAAACTTTAATTGCCATCCATAAATCCTGGGCTCCCCAGAGCGGGGCATCCCTACAACCCAATTACACTTGCTAGCAGACAAGAAAGATGGGGACACAGGGCAAGAGAAACAGAGAAAAGGACAGAGAGACGCAGCCGTCTGTCTGGCCTAAGAGGCTAGCTAGCCCTCTTCTGGCCTGGGGCCACCTGCATTTCTCAGGTACAGGAACTCCTTAACACCATAGTGAACTTGTCTGAAGTTTCCTGTTCTGGGCCCAGGACTGAGCAGGTCCTCAGTGCTCGGATCCCTCCTCCACTTCTCTACAGCTGGAGAGGGCAGAAAACTATGGAGCCTGTCCCCAGTGCCTCCAGAATAAACAACTTAAGTAGCACACACATCCCCCACCTCCCTGTCCCTGCCCCAGTCACCCAGAAAGCAGGGGTCTTCCACTGGGTCTCCATTGATTCTGATTAAGTTCGGGGGCTCTCTGTAGATTCTTCATCACTGTTGCTTAGAATGATTTCTTGACCAAGCCTCTTCTCCCACCAGAGCCACAATTCCACAGTGGCTTCATCTACAATATACTTCATCCTTTTTGGACTTTAGGGAGTGCCCAAGGGGAAAGCGCTCCCTGGTGAACCTTGTCAAGATCTAGAAAAATGTGTGCCAACAGCAGTTAGCCAAACCCAGATCCCAGGCTTCCTCACACCCTGGCCCTGGCCCCTGGAGGAATGTGCCTGGCAGCTTCTCTCCAAAATCCTTTCGGAGGGTGTTGGTAGAGTAGGCCTGGGAACGCGCCGGGAAAGGGATTTTGCCCAAAGAAAGGCGTCATTCTCAATGCGTTTTTCTTCCTTGCCAAAGGGAAAACTGCCGATTGGAAAATGGGTGCAAGAAAGGGTCTTTGGTCTGAGTGGCGTCAGGAGAGCCCCAAGTCTAAAGGCATTTTAGACCTCCTGAAAAATCCAGTTGTCCAGTGGGAAACCACACTGGTATGCGCCTGATCACTCATAAACTAACCACTTGAATGACCTTGGCCAAGTCAAAAAGCTGCACGCCGTGAAATGGGGTGAAGGTGAACATCGCCTATGATGCGCTCCAGGAGTAAGCCGCTTCCAGCCGGAGGTCTGCAAAGGCCGCAGGCCTCGCACTTTGCACAGAGAAGCGGGGAGAACCAGGCATCCCTATTCAAAAGGCGCCGGAGTCCGCACCTGGTGCGCTCTGCGGGCCAGGCCGAGGATAGTCAAGCTGGGGCGCAGGCTGGAAGCCCGGGCGAGATGGAGTAGCGAGCCGGGTGATTTCTTGCGAAAGCGTGGAGAAAGGGGAGGCCGGCCGGGGGGGGGTGGTGGTGGTGGTGGTGAAATTAACAAAACCTACACTTTGCAAAGTCTTCTTCCCCCTCCCGCCCCCGCTTTCTTCCCTGTGGCGCCCCCGCCCCTCCTCGCCGCTTCTGTTGTGACTCGGGCAGCCTATCCCGAGGGTGGGGAGCTGCCGAGGAACCGGAGCCGAGCGCTACTCCGCAACATCACGTGCTGGAGTGGGGGCTATAAAATCCCGAGCCGGGGCGCCGGGCGGGGGACGTGAGGACCAGCCCTCTCCGGGGACCCTTTTGTTCCCGTCCCAGACGCCCGCACCTCCTCGTCCCCTAGGGCTTGACCGCCGGCGGCCGCGCCGCGCCCAGGACAGAGCTGAGCACTGGAGAGGGAGGGGAGGCCGACGCCGGCCCAGCCCTCCAACCGGCCGCCCCGCCCGACATGTCGCGCTCCTTCTATGTGGACTCGCTCATCATCAAGGACTCCCCCCGCCCCGCGCCCGCGCTGCCCGAGCCGCACCCGGGGCCGGACTTCCTCATCCCGCTGGGCATGCCATCCCCGTTGGTGATGTCGGTGTCCGGGCCGGGCTGCCCGTCGCGCAAGAGCGGCGCTTTCTGCGTGTGTCCGCTCTGCGTCACCTCTCACTTGCACTCCTCTCGGGGACCCTCGG